TACAAAGTCGCCAGTTCTCAGCTTCCAGCTCCACAGATTGCTCCGCGTAATAACGTTGTACTGGCGAGTCGCCAGTTCTCAGCTTCCAGCTCCACAGATTGCCCCGCGCACTAAAGTTGTACTAGCAAATCGCCAGTTCTCATCTTCCAGCTCCCCAAGTCGCACTCTCGCCTGCATTTCGCGCACTCGACACGCGCGATCTCCGCAGAGGGTTGCGCGCGGACCGCACCAATCGCACTCTCGCCTGCATTTCGCGCACTCGACACGCACGATCTCCGCAGAGGGTTGCGCGCGGACCGCCCCAATCGCACTCTCGCCTGCATTTCGCGCACTCGACACGCACGATCTCCGCAGAGGGTTGCGCGCGGACCGCACCAATCGCACTCTCGCCTGCATTTTGCGCACTCGACGCGCACGATCTCCGCAGAAGGTTGCGCGCGGACCGCACCAATCGCACTCTCGCCTGCATTTCGCGCACTGGACACGCACGATCTCGCAGAGGGTTGCGCGGTAATGTGACAAATCGCGCTCTCGCCTGCATTTCGCGCACTCGACACGCACGATCTCCGCAGAGGGTTGCATTTTCGGTTGACGCTGTTCGTCCCACCCTCCGCCTTTAAGAGAGAATTTATAAAGTGGGGAAATGTTTTTCATTAGGACATCTCCCGTGCAAGTTTTTCATACTCACACTTGCCGTTGGATGCTTTCACTCTTCCACTTACACTGGGATACGTATACAAGTGTAAGTCTTCATGTTCATGTTCAAGTGTAAGTGTGGAAGCGTAAGTGTTCAAGTGTAAGTGTAGAAATGTCAGTGTTCAAGTGCAAGTGTGGAAGTGTCAGTGTGTAAGTGTAAGTGTCGAAGTGTCAGTGTTCAAGGGATTTTCCGGAAGAACCCTTCGCAATGCTTTCGGGAAAAAACCGAACTCCTGCAGATGGAAAAAAACAAAATCTGCCCATTGAACACCCTGAAAAGTTGTGGACCCCGTGGACAGCTTTCTGCACAGGCTACCCCCCCAAATCGAAAGGCCCCGGCGATATGTGCTGACAGCGCCTAACCTGGTGATAGGACCGGCCTTTCATAGTAGAGAAAAAAAAAAGGCGGGAATGTCAAAAGGTCGCCTAAAAACTTCTACTGGCAGTGGTGAAAACCACAGAAAATGCTCCAGTCAAATCCCAAAGTGTTCCTGTCAAGTATCAAAACCATTGCTGAGATGTGTTACAGCGGTCTTGCCAAAAACCAGCGTCTCGCGATGGAAGTCAGGATCGAAACCCCCAACGAATGACCAAAACCAGCAAGGGTCGACGTCTGGATCTTTCCATCGCAGAAAGAACTGTCTTTCCAAATGCTCCCGGCACTTCGTCTTCGTCGCACGAGACATGGACGGTCGACCATCGCCATTTTGTGCCTGCAATCTTTGTTGGATTTAGGCACCTGGCAAGGTGCGAACGTGAAACGCACGTTAAACCTGCAGGTGGGTGGAACCCTGAGTCACTTGAAGATTCAGAGTGGTTCGATCTTTTTGGATGTATTTTGGGACGTTCTCTCACTTTGGGCCCCGGCATGGCATGGTTGTGGCATCTTGCGGCAGAGAATGTCTCTATGTGGGACCCTTAGGGAGTGAACTGCCACCCAAGAAGCTGCACAAAAACTGACACGCGCGCTGCGCGCTTGAGTATGAGCCTCTTGAAAGTGGCTTTCGTGTCAAGAACACTCGAGTGCCTACTAAATCCTACTAAAACATGTAGAAAACACAATGAACCCATCTGTCACTGTTTGGGTCAACTTGTGTTGTTGCTTCTCACGTCTCACGACTGGATCTGGTAGAACCGCTTCGCTTCACGGTCTCCCCAAGACCGACGAATCCAGGGCCGCGGTTCATGTGATGTGAACCCGGTTATGGCGGTTATGGCGAAGAGAAAAAGAAACACATGTAGAAAATGTTGACATTCACAGTCGAAGAAAAGAAACACCATGTTTCAGCCATCTTTCGAGGGTTTCATGTTTTGATACTGTAATTCTGGCGCCGGCAATGGCCAGGATACCCGCTCTCAAGGTGCGAGCTAAACGAGCTTCAGGATCCCACCCAGCACTTGTAGTCCTCAACCTTGAGATCAAGTGAGTTTTCACGCGGATGACCTTGGCATGTTCTCCAAATTGCCTGGATCCCAAGTTGAGCAGCGATGTTCATCATGTGCCAATGTGGTCATCTGATTTGGGGGGGGCCACCAGCGGGCCTAACAAAGGGTTCTTTTCACGGGATGAAGTGGTTTTGTGGTTCTTCCCTTGTTCTCTTCTCTCGGCAGCATTCCCAACCCCAGCCATTGGCCTTGATTTGGGAGATGTCGTTGAGCAAGTCCTCACATCGGGACATCCAGCTCATTCCATTCCAACTCATGCATCATGCCCTCCAGCTCCAGCTCCTGTGGACTCCTCCTCTTGTGACTCAACCTCGACATTGTTGTGGGAAAGTGCAGGCGCCTTCGATCACTACCAGTACCACCAGCCTTCTTCCTTCAGCGGCGGTCCGATCATGCGGACGATCCGACCGCGGAGGCGAGCCGGCGAGGCCTCGGGACAGGTCTTAGGGGCTCACAAAGAGCAGCTGGGTCTTTGAACCCAAACTGACCAAAAAAACACACACACACACACACACAGGTCTCCTCGTTCAAGACCTGGACCTCGTCCTTCTTGTGGCGCACCTCGGGGTGTTGGAAGGTCGAGACCGGTTTCCAAGAAAAGACTAGAGACACTAGAGACCTGAAGATGTCAATGGGTGATCATTCAGGTTCCCGAAGGCAGTCATGTGGGCTACTGACAGATGCTTCACCATTGGGTTAGTGTAGATTGGCCGGTGTAGTACTGAACAAAAATCCCAAAGCCAAGCCCAGTGGCCCACAAGTCTCGGCTCTGAACACAGGAAGTCTTTGAGAAGGGACCTTCACAAGAAGACTGTTCCCTATGTTTCTCGTTTTTGGTCAACAACCAGAACACAAACACTCCATAATGTAGGCAAATAACATACATAGTGTGAGGGCACTTCAAACAAACGCTCACCTTCGTCCAACTGTCATCCCTCGTGTTGCGAAGCTCGATCAACCCAGCTCTCACGTGTTTTCCCGAATGCGTAGCGAAGGGTTCTCGCTCAACGTTGTTCGCGTATGTTTGCGTGACCTTGCTTTCGTGTTCCCAACCGTTCGCAACCGTCAGAATGTGATCGACAAGGCCCTCCGGTTGCGGAAAGCTCTTGGAGAAGGTTGGTGGATACAAGCCGGAAGTGTCCGATTCGTGTGAAGTAGACATGTAACATGTGGAAGTGTGGGATGGTGCAGCGCTTTGCTAGATCCGTTTCCTTCACTGTGCCGGGATTGGCTTCTTTCCTCGCAGAGACCAGTGATCCGACTGTGCGGTGCGGGTTCCGCTGTGCGAGACACTGGCCGAAAGAAGCGAAGGAAGCTGTGGTGGATGCTTTCGCGCGCTCCGAAAGTGTCGATGTGCGCGTGGTGGTGTGGTGCAGACGCGACCCGGGACCAGAACCTATGCAGGGGTCGGACCCTCGTATGGAGGGACCCAAGGGCTGTTTGGAGCGTCTCGGTGGTGCAGAGGACTTGCTGAAGATCCGGTGTGTGAGAACTTTTCGTGGCAGGCACAGGGAATCGTGAGGGTTTTCTGCGTTTAGCGGAGACGGATGTCGCTGTGCCATTTGGATTGGCGGCTGCGGTTTTCAGGAGCTGGAATTGCGAAACTGCGTGGCAGGGCTGCTTGATGTGTTCTCTCTGATAAGACTCCCCGATTCACTTTTGGAGGGTGTCTCGTACGAAATGCTCGCCTTGGATTGTTTGGGAGACTTGATGCATGACTTTTGGAGCAAGTCTCGTACAAAACACTCGTTTTTGGAGCCGTGGCGCCTGACTTGTGGAGGGCGTCTCGTGCGAAACGCTCGCTTTGGAGACTCGACGTGTGACTTTTGGAGGAGACCCGTCCAAAATGCTCGCTTTGGCAGGTTTCAGCAAGCTCCCACGAAACTGTCCCACAAGAGCGTGCCCTACAAGAGTGTCCTAAAAGAGCATCCCACAACAGTGTCAAACAATGTTTGGCCGTTTGCTTTTGAATGGGTGTATGCAGTGCAGTCGGGTTCGTGGGTTCCTTGTTTTTTTGCATGTTCTTCGCCCGTCTGTGGAATGATCCTGTTGAGGCTCCAAGTGGCCTTCATCTTCAAGACGCTTTCCAACTTGAAGCGAGCATCCGGATCATTGAGAATGGCGTCCTCGGTCGCAGCAACGCGGTGTGTCTTTTTAGGATATGTATATGTTATGGATATATTATACTATGGCATATTATATATATACAGTATATCTGCTGGATGCAGAATGAAAAATGCTAAGCATCCCTGTCAAACATGCAAGGTAGCTGTGCAGGACCCACCAAAACAACCAAAAGGAGATTGGCAAGTACATATGTCCTACTTTTGAACCATAACATCGCCAAATGTCTGCAACCATTCCGCTCAGCGCGTTTAGGAGCACGCCGGAAGACTCCGTAGGCACGACACTGTAGGCACAGACACCGCTCCGATGGAGCGGCCATTCCAAGTAGTAGCGGCCAGAACTACCAGGGAATACGAGGGAAGAAGGGAGAGTATGGGCCATCAGACAGCAGTATGAATCACACGAACATGACTGTCGACCACCGGCGATACAGGATGAATCTAACGAAGGAGCACTTGAACGAGAAAAAAGAAATCAACGACTTGTGCCTGCTACTGATGCGTCTTGTGGGTAGTAGAGACGTGTACCAAACTGGCGGTGTATTGAAATAGGGAGACGGTCAAAGAAAGGCAAGGTAGATCGAAACCCGTAAACTATCGGCACATACTCTTTGCAGTAGCTCATATCAAGTGAACCGCCAAACTTCCAAATTGCACAACCACCACGGAGTCTTTTACGACAAACACATTTTTCACTATTATGTGCTGTGCTACTGTTGATCGTTTCCAGGTCTGTTTGTTCAAAGCAGGGGATCAATTTCGGTCACTTCGATGAGCTAGGTGTAGATCTCGGGGGTCGTAACTACATTGGAGCGGTTGACTTCAATGGTGGGGCGGCATGGAGTGTCTGCAAAATTGTAGACAGCAGTATGAATCAAACCAAGACCGCTGTCAAGTTGATTGGCAATAAATCTAGACCATTTGATCGTTCACTGCCAAGTTCATGTTTCTTTTGGCCTATCGGCCGATCAGGCTGATCGCCTCCAGCCGATTTCGTTCGTTCGTTCGTTCTTCACTTCCAGCGGAAGCAGAAAGAACAACCATGGTTTGTGCGGGCGGCGACGGTCGCTAGTGGTAGATTTACAGCTGACTATTGCTATGTTGGGTTCCATAGCCCCGCCCTTATTTTGACCCCCAGATAGATAGACAAGTAGATACCCACTACAAATGTGTTCGAATCCGTTTCTATCTATTTGAGTATCACGGCACCACCTGAGCACCCAAAACACACCAGGTGTTTCTGTATATATACGGAAATTCCATAGAAATTCCACCTTTAGCTCTCACGAAGTGTTGAGAACCATCCTTCACACGAAAACATTACAGTAAACACATTACATTACAATGCTGTAAACACTTCGCATACACACGGGATGAACATGGCACAAAGAACTTGTCAAAAGGAAAGCACTGTTGAAAGAATGTTGCCGAACATGACAAGGCATGTGTCATGAAATGATTGACATTTCCCAAGAGCAGGACATTCGCCATCTGGCAGATTGGCCTGTTTGGCTCCATGTTGCCTGTACGCCTGAACAGGTGTAAAATCTGTTTAGGAAGGCCGGAACTTGGCACATAATATTTATCATTTCTGGGCTAAGAAGCCGAACCTTTCTGAAACTCTGATAAACCTCCAACTCGAACTCTTTCACGTGCACCAAACAACGGCACGAAAAAACCCGTCACCGTCACCTCTCGAAGCTTTGGCTTGAGAAGCTAAGGCTTCGCCCTCTTCGCCCTGGTCTCCTTTCTTAGCCCCTTTTGATTCGCCGTCCAGGAAGCCAAGGAACAAATATGCCCTGGAAGATGACACCTGAAAACCTGAAAACCACGTCGGGTTGTAGAAAAGAGTCTTCCAGGAAGGTTCATTTTCTTCCATGTGAATCTTTCCGGGTGTAAGAACTCTTGCTGCACAGGCAACCGGCTATCTGCACAGCTGACTAGCAGCAACCGACACACCCGGCTGCTCGGCTCCGCGACATGGACACCGCCGGCGGCTATGGACCGGGTCCATCACCAGGTGGGCTGGACCAGGACCGAAACCAAGCTCCGGTGGTTCTTGGACACCTCCTAAACCTCCAAGAGGCTATTTACAAACACCTCTTGGTGTCGGTCCTGGGATGTGTATGTTAATGGAGACACACGCCCCATGTGGGTCATGGCAGACCGACCGGGGTGAAAAACACCTGGTCGTCCGTTGGCGGTCATGGTGGACGACCATGGAGGGCGCGTACACTTTCACGACCCATCCGCATGTATGAAGGTATTTCTATATTTCCAGGTACCTTGAAGATGCCAGTCCCCACATGTTCATACATTGGGGGTATGTCCAAAAGCGCACATGTTCCAGTCCCGTTGAAAAGTGTCTGGTGTCAACACAAAGGCACTGCCACACCGGTGAGCTCTCCCACACGCTCCGACCTCGGCAGATGCGACCCTGCGATCGTCCGGGGGGGGCTCAAGGGAAACCTTCGTGTTTGGCGGGGGATCGATGCCGCACCTGGTTGATCTTCCATTGTGTGAGCCTCCTGCCATTCAGGTTTAATTAATTTCCGAAAGTGATGGCGTGATGACACAAGAGGACCCAACCAGTGGAGTGAAACGGAGGGCGTCATCCACCAGAAAAGAATTCCTGATGATTTTATCACCCTGGCTGCCAGTTCGGAAAAGAACACAGACAAATATCAGTTGTTTAAGCGTGCTTGTGAGCAAAACTACGAATGTCCCGGTTGTTATGTCATCCGGCCTTTGATTTGCCGTTCATTTCTAGTTCCACGATTCTACGGGATGAACATTGACTGCGCCCCTCAAACCAAATACTTGGGATGTGTCTGGTGCCAAGCAAAATTGGATGCTACACGATGCTACCCAAAACATCTTCACCAACACTGATTCATAAAGTGCAATACGAATCCTTAAAATGGGCGTCCACTGAACCAGCTAGAAGCCCTACAAGCAGAACGGTCTCAGCAGTGCATGTTGCTGACCATCTCCAAGAAATATTGATGCAAATCCTGGCCGAAAAAAGAAAACAGGAAACATGGTCACCCTCCCACTGATACTGTATATCAAGTTCATAAAGAAGACTCACCTTCTAGGAGCCTATTTGTCCAGTAAGACTTCCACCCCACTGATCCCCATGCAAAATGATCGATTTATGAGTGCATGAGCCTTCTGCTAATAGCTAAAGCTTCACGATACTCACCCTGGCTGTGATTTTGCAACATGCTGATCAACTTCGTCTTGTCCATTCTCGCTCTGGCACCCATGTTGATTGGATTCCCGATGGAGATTAAGAGGATGTATTCCAAGGCTGGTAACCTGACCCCCCCAAGGGGTACAGGTGTCCAATGGTTTGCAGGTCGAAAGTCGACTGCTTTCCAGGAGGCTTCCGTTCATCCTGGAACTTCTCCAAGGCCAATGATCGCTTTGCCTCCCGCGAACGAACGGCAGGTGGCTGCCAAGTGGCAGGTCTGTGTGTCACCCGGACCCTGTGGTGCCTTCTGTGTGCATGATGCACAGACCGGACCCTTCATGCGCTGCACAGGCCAAAAAGGATGACCATGATCATGCTGTCAAAAAAAGCTTTCAGAAAGTCGGCTCTTGACTTTGCAGCTCATAGCTGCACATGCTTACAAATGATATGTATGTATATAATATATATATATATATATATTATGCACAATTATATACATGTATGCAAACATGATCAAATATGTCCAGTAACATGCACGCACAGTTGACGCAGCAAGGAAAAGGAACAACTCCAATGCGCCGGCCGACCTCTCCAACCCGGAGTGTCGTCTGTCGTTTTCCGTCGGTTCAGCCGATCGTCCCCCCACCTCGTCGCTCATGACCTTGGCCGCCTCGGGATCTAAGGGACAGCAGCCCAAGTCCTGAAGCAGCGCGGTGTCGCTCGAGGAAGCGGCGGAGGTGTTGCTGGGACCACTGGGACGCAACCGGGGTCCGAGGGACCGTCCTGGTTGGGGGAACCGCTCTGGTTGGGACCCACCGCTTCACGAGCTCAAACGGCCTGGAAGAGCCAAAGACAAAGACTTCAGGGGATGTCGAAGCCGCCTGCTAAGCTTCTTCAGAGGAACTGGACATTGGAAATGCTGGTGGAACAAAGGAAACACGGGTTTTTTTGACTGTCTCCCCCGATTTCCGCGAGCTCAAGACTCCATCTCAATAAGTGCTTTCTTCTTTTGAAAGGCTTGGTTTCGAACAACACTCTCAACCATTTCTTTTCAAATCATCTTGATGTGTGTATTCAACCGCCAATCAGCCAAACAACACCGAAGTCCAAGCCCGAACCCCCCCCCTTGACGGGTTCGGAAAAAAAGACGCCCTGAGACTCTTGGAGCCAGGTTCGGACCTGGCACCACCGGTTCACGCCGTGCCACCTGGGACCCAGTTGCCCCAACCCAAGCGAGTCGGCGTCGGAAGGCGTCCGGAATTCGGGTCGGTCCTGGCACCCCAGTTGCCAAGCCAAGGGCATCGTCAAATCCTCGATCCGAAGAGCACGAGGTGCGCCCGCGCCCCCACCCCCCCCACCAGCACCCCGGAGGGGAGCAACGCCGTGGTGGCGAACGAAGGTCTCGTCTTCCTAATACGGGACCATTGGTGGCTGAACCCAAGCAGGTGAGTGAAAGGGTATCTTTTCTTGGAGGGGCCTATCGCTTTACACGGTTTTGTGGAAATCAACAAACATGACTCTGGAGTTCATTCCTAACAGGCGCGAAAATGGATGAAGGACTCCTTTTCTCAGGTGCTCTACATCATTCTACATCTAGGTTCAGGGCTCAATGCCCTTGGCCGGTGCTTTTTGTGTAACAGTGTAACAAATGCTTGTCGCGAAGCGACTCTCGCTCCGAACGGTGAAGAAAAGTTCCGTGCCCGGTAAGTACCCTAGCCCACACTCCATGGGACTGATTTGTATGCCTGCATTGACCCCCCCTGGCACCACCCCTGGCCGTTTCTCGGCAGTCCTATGCCAGTCTGATGGAGTGCCTACCCTAAGAATCCGGGCCTTCAAATGAGAAGGGTGTGGGAACCGGCTCCGGACCTTCTCCCCCCTAGTGGTGCACCGGTTTTCGGTTTTCTCCGACGACCCCTTGTTCATCACCACAGGTGGAGCTTTGAGGCGGTGCATGGAGAGCCCTGAAACCAAATCTACCCGAGTGGAGCAAAGTCTGCCAGTCTCATGGAGTCTGGGCCCCATGAATTGCGGGGATTGGGAACACCATGGGTTCAATGAACAGGGCTCGTGAACAGGGGAGTTGTGGAAAGAAAAACGTGGGGTTTCTTGCCGCAAGAGCTGTTTAGGATTCTCATCTACGATGAAAACCAAATGCCAAAGGTGGTGTTGTGTCCCTCTACTCTGATACGAACCATTTTATATCTGCAACTTGTAAATCAGGGCAAGAGGTCACGATTAAGTATTCCTTGCGCATGTCCAAGAAAAACAATTATCTAGATAGATCGATTGATTGATTGATTGATTGATAGATAGATAGGTAGATAGGTAGATAGGTAGATTGTAGATAGGTAGATAGAAGCGAGCCAATACGCTTTGTCCACCTATTCTGTACCACTCGTGCAATGTCTCGCATTGCGTGGATCCCGTCTTTGTCTTCTTGCTCAATGGGTAGCACGGAGAGAGTGAATCTTGAAGATGCCTGCCTTAACAGAGTCTGGTTCTTTGATTGATTTACTCCAAGAAAGAGACCAAGCCTGAAATCAAATCAGCATCTTCATGCAGCTTCGACTGGACATCAGCCATATTAGAGTGGCGGGCAAAACTTCTTCGTGTCCCCAACGCCAAAAGTATTTTGGTTGGCCCCTTATCGGTGTCCAGTCTTTTGGAATGCCAATGAGCTACTTTCAATCCAGAAAGGGTATCCGTATAGGCTTGACCCGTACCGGTTTTGCAAGTGTTTGATCAGTTCAGAAATACTTAAGGCGGCTTATAAAGTACATGTGTATATATATATATAATGAGGATGTTTTGTCGGATGCTCATGAGAGACATTTAAAAAGACGTTCTAAGTGGAACAAGCCCAATTTGCCAAATATTCAGATTCTCCATCAAAGAGGGTGTCCGCATCAAGTCAAGTACAACTTTTTACTAACCACGAAATAGCTTCAAGCAAAACGGTACAGTGAGAATGTGTGAGAATGTACCCTCAAGACAAGTTCCCGACGAAGACAAACACCAATAGACTTTGAAAGAAGGCTTCCCCTGGCAACAACAGGTCTTGACATTTGTAGCTGCTTGCCACCAAAGGAGCATCGCTTCGGCTGCGCCAACTCTTACTGATCGTATCCACAATCCGCTCACCATCCGCTTTCTCCTGTTGAACGTCAAGAGCCGGAGAGATGGTCGTTCTAAATGACAAGAATCATATCCAAAACCGAATCCTGGAGTGGACAGAACATATCAAAAACAAAGGACTTGGCGGCAAGAAGTTCCATGTTGTGGCTTATCATGTCTTCTAAGTGTTTGCAAACAGGCGCATTTTCGCAGCTGGGTGCGCACTCCAACAAACACTCTCTCCCAAGGTCCTCATGGTTACATGGATGGACCCATGGTTTAGACATGTTAAAACCATGAACACCCATGGATCATTGGTCACTTCTCAAAAGAACCCATGGATCATTGGTCACGTCTCAAAAGAAATGTGGGAAGTCCATCAAAAGCAAAGAAAATGCAAGCTACTACCAAGCCAACTCATTAGTTTTCCCAGCGGTGACTGGAATGCACATCAACGGGCTTGAATTGCAATAGGCAGACCAACCAAATGGGTAGGACTCTTCGATTTTCCAGGGGTCGAACTGGGTTCTTTTTCGCCGACATCTCCAAAATGGCGATCATCTGTTTGACTGTTACAGTCATGGGACACGCACCAAATCTTCCTGTTGTGGATGCTCGTGGAGGTTTGGATACCATGTGTCGCGACACGAGCGTCGCGCAGAAAACAGGCGCACTACCAATCGCGCGAAAAAGTGCGATGAACCACTCCCTTCTCCCCAAGCCGGCGCAGATACCGCTGTCTCCTCTTGCATCTCATTCATCAAGAGCTCACAACGAGCACGACTTTGAGACCTTGGCATGGCATCAGCAAAAACACAGCAGAAGAACAGGCTACATGAGCCTGGTTTTCGTGCTACATGAGCCCCAGTTGGGCTTGCAGTGTAATTATGTCTCAAAGGCATGTAGCACACTCTAGGATAAGGAAAACCACATGGTTTGCATGTCCTTGACCTCGTTGCAGACCGCCTTGTTGGACCGGTTCCGATCCGACGTCCAAAACGTGCGACGTCCAACGTGTCTGAGAAGCGTCGAAGAAAAAGGCCTCTACAAAGGAGATGGAACGAAAGAAAATGGACCGAAAAGTGAAAAGCACCTGGAGTTGTCTTCCCGATTGACCATGCGATTGACCATTTTCAACCATTGTCCCATCCAATCTTGCGAGGTCAGGGAGATTGCTTCTACTCCCACGCCGATAGGTGTCTTGAAATGAAGCTTCAAAATAAACGCCACCGGTCGCCATACCGGAACCCGGGCAGCCCATCACGAGTATCCAAGGAGGAAGGAAAAAGGCCAACTTCGCTTCCCATCGCCCGAAACCTCTTCTTCCTCCTGCCAGAAGGTGTGCCCGAAACCTCGTGCACCAAGAAGATGGTCGTCCAGAAGTGTCGTCCAGAAGGGTTCTTTACTTTCTGAAACCAACTGCTGGGATGGGAGTGGTTTTGATCTGGCTTGGTGTTTGACCAGTTACCCCTGAAACCCATACCGGTCTGACGTTTGCAGCAAACGCGGCCATTCCGTGCTCTCCAAACAACCAAGAAACGTCTCAGCCACTGCACAAGGTTCCAAGCCCTGAATGGCAGGTGACGAGCGTGGATAAAACGCATTTAAAAAAAAAAAAAAAAACGACCGTCCTGCACTTTCTCAACGGATTTTCGAGTCCCGGCCCTGAAGCCGCCAAGCGGACGATTCTTCAAATCCGATGTGTTCAGTCACATGGCCAACCAGAAAGAGACATCCCCGTTAAAAGAAGGTCTAAGAATCAAACATACCATCAAAACAAACGCAGGGGTAGAAGAAGGCAATGGTGAATAAACCAAATTCCACGCTCCAGATCAGGGCACACACAGAGCATACCGATGAGAGCGCACATATCAGAACACACACGTGAGAGCACTGGTGAGGGCGCACGAATGAGAGCACACATAAGGGAGCACGCGTATGAAAGCGCAATGAGAGCATGCAAATGAGAGCGCTCAACAGACACACTTAGATATAATATATAGATGGTTCGCAAGAGCAAACGTCCGTTTTGAACTAGACTTTGGGTGAAGCAGAAAGGCGATATGTCTGAGAAACAGAAATGTTGAACACTCTGGTTTGCACGTTACGGGAAAATTGGAGTCACAGCCTGATAAACACCACACAAAAAATTGGAGTGCAGGTACGCCGGAGTGATGAGCTCGTTGGCACTGACTCCACACAAATATGTCGCAGAGATCATTCTCTGACGAGCCCTGGAGAAATGCATGTATGTGGGTCTTCTGACCAGGCGGTGGCATGGTTTTCAAGCCCTTTGTCAAGGCCTTGCCACAATCCAGCAACTTCTTCCAGTCGTAGCTGAGTCGTAGCTCGCGAAATCGCTCAAAATCTCATCTTCTCTGCTTGTCTCCATCGGCTGTAGCCTGCTCCTAGCGTACCTTCATTCGTGCCTGATCCTTCGACATCTCAAGGGCAAGGATGATAGCAAAACAACTGAAGATGACGAGGAGACTCCAAGCTACATTGCAACTTGATCCTCGAAGTCATGGAGCACCCCCGTTTGAGTTGGGGTGCTCTGCTCCGGCGCCTTCCGACACCACATCGCGCAGCACGGCATCCTTCGCTGCTGTTTGCGGCACATTCAAGCCTCTCGAGATCATGGAAGTGCATTTCAACTGCGCAGGCTCGCTGAAACTGCTGGGCCCATGCGCCAAGTCGGCTTTTCGTGCCAGGTGCAGGAGATCGGAGCCGTTTTACTTCGATGTGCAGACTTCGTGGCAGGTGCAGCGCTTTGGACATGGTGGTGGTCTTTGGCGTGCTCTGATTTCGTGGCAGGTGCAGTGAATCATGAACTTTGGACATGTGAACATGAGGCGCGTTTGCAGATTTAGGGGGGCAGCATCGTGCAAAAGCTGCCTTTTGGCATCTTGATGCTATCTTTCACTGGCAGACCACACTGTTTAAAAGCAGATTCCCTTGTGGCCGGTCAGGACCGGACGTAGGAAAATAATAAATAACAATTGTACAGCATTAAACGAAAGAACTGTAAAAAAGCAAGCGATTAATGGTGTTTAGGACTTTGCAGATTTTTGTATGATTTCCAGCCAGGATTTCTTTAATGTTTGCTTTCATAAGTTGCTTTGTATGATTTTTGGTCTCCGGCGTGTTTCATTTACAAATTCAAAAAATAAAGACACCGCCCATCTGTGGGAGAGGCGGCGTGAATGTCTCTATCCAAGGATACTCCCCTAAACCTTGATGACGCTCAGTAAAGGTCCTCCATGGTTTCTTAGTGATCAATCACTACGCACGATCGGCATCCGTCCTGTTCTGGATTCCTTGGATTTCGGAGGCAACATGGCTGGCTCTTGAAGATGGCATGGCTGGATCTCGAGATGGCACTGCCAACACCCGAACACGCACGTACTCTCCGTCTCAATGAATCATGGGAAAGTAGAGGGAAACCACCTGTTTGGTATTCGGATTTCATGGTCAGCCAAAAGGGGCCATGCCATCCACGTTGGCCCATGATGATTTCAGGTTACCACTCTCGTAGTCACCGCCTAATTAGGTGGGGCCAAGTCTTCGACACGGTACCACCCTGGTGTGGCATGGTTACATACTCCTTGCGAAAGTCCTTAGAGGAAGAGATGTCAAAGCCCGAGCCTTCAACTTACCTTCCAGGAAGTTGTGGCAGGCAGCGCATTGTTGGGCGCTGTAGCCTTAAGTCACTTTGTAACATCATCAGCATGACGACCCAGGCATGTTCCCCCCCTTTGGTCTTCCGGTCGAACCCACAGTCGACGCTTCGACGCGGGCTCGGCGTCTCACATCCATAGGGAACGAAATCCACCACGAGGCCGCCGTCCCATGCAACCAACGAGTCGTCACTGGCCTTCCACTTAGACATGAGCGGGGATCCGATCCCCGGTGTGGCGCGCATGTGTTCACACGGTGTTCTGAGTGAGAAGTCTTTGTGTCCCTGTAGCTTTTTGTTACTACTAGTCAGGCACTTGTTACTACTAGCGTGGCACTTGTTACTAGTAGTAACAAGAAGCTTGACCAAGGGAGACTCCCGGTCAGGTCCCGACATGTCGTGGTGAACTCCCAAAGTCGGACGGTGAACCTGAAGACGAACGTCGCGGTCGCGTGCAGTTCGATGAAAGAGAACGAGGACGGAGTTCTACGAAAGGACCGTGAAATTGAAGGAGTTGGATGACAGTTCGGTACAGTCTATGACAGTCGATGCCACCCTGCCACTCTGGATGTTTTGGATGTCAGATGAACCATGTAGAGGCAAACATACATCGCTTGTTCGTCTTGGTGGTTTGGGATGGTGGTTTGGTGGTCATATTGACTTAAAAACATGGATGGTTTTGGGTTGTATGCCCCACCACCGAGCTCGAAGAGCTGCAACTAGCATTCACCTACGGTCGAAGATGGGGAAACGGTCGCCCTTTCCACAGTTTTTAAAAGTATCGAATACATCAAATCGATCGGAAGTCGTCGATGACCACCTCAGGACCGGCCGGTCGTTGATCCAAATCGAACCAGCAAGAAGAGCGGTCTCAAACGGCACTGAACGTGTTTTTTGCATCATGTGTTCACATCGCATGACTTGCATTCTCCGCCTGTGTTACCGCACCTTCGTTCGATGTGCGCGAACCTTTGAAAGAAGAGACATATATATATATATATATTATAGTGCTTTTCGCTGCTGCAGCGATATATGAGTGTTTGCAATCAGAATGTAAGCGTTATAAAGGGGCCCATGGCGCCCATGGTGCGCAGATGTGCAAAACCGGATAAACCAAACGACAAAAACACGCCTTCCGAGAGGGGCAAAGAGCAGAAAAGGTCAGTTATACTCGCTTGTCCCTCCCTCCCCCCAAAGAGCTCAAAACAAGCCAAGATCGGCTGAGCACTGGTCTCACTTTGCCACGGTGGTTCCTCCCATGGCTCTGGGCCCCTGGGCTTTGACCCACGTGTATCCGTGCATCCAAGCAGCTGCACCCGGTCAGGTTTGAGTGGAAGATGTAGTCTTCGTGCTGCGGCAAGCACATCGCCTGAGATCCAGAAGTGCAAAGAATCGCCATACTAAAATGGGTGTCAAACTTAGACTCATTGGCAGTTGCTCCACATTAACTAATGATGTTGTCCATTGTTGTCCTACTAATATCTACTAATGATGTGGGAGCAGCCTCTCCTTGCATGGCATGGAAACGCACGGGAGGAGCCTCGTCCTACCGATGGTCTGACCTCCCCCGCGGCACCCGAGCCAAGTGACCAGCTTCGGGACGTTCGTAAAGAAAATCATCTTCCCCACCTCGGCCAGCTGCTCCTGAACTGCAGTAATCAGTTCACCCATCCTGAGGTGGAAGCGATTCTGAGACGGGTGTGTACAAATTGAACCCTATTTAGGGATGTAAAGGGATCATAGACGAACACCCACTGCTTAGAGGGTCTCCCTACTGATTGGAACAGAATCACTGATGACCCATGCACCCCAGCAGATCGTAACCAACTCTTCTAGTCCTCTGCCCAGCGACGAAGCGGAACACGCCAAGTCAACCCACCGCGACGTGCGACGTGTCACTTGGTGGACGACTTAGGTGCCGACCGCCAGGGTTTGGCCATTGCATGAAAGTTCAGCGGTGTTCTGTTGTGCGACCCCTCCCCACCCCAAAAAAAACAAACTGAACAGGGGGAAGGTGCTTGAAGAGAACGTTTCATCACCTGTAAATCACCAACCACGAGCCACCTGGGAGGGTCTGTAAACCACAGCCACGGAAAAACACGCCACATCCATGTCTTCACCGGCTCTGGGTCTGGTCCTTCAAGGTTGGCGGCTTCACAAACCTGGCCGACGTGTATTGGTCTCGGTGTGGGAGATCTCTCCAGTTCCGCCCCAGGACCCACCTTTGCGGGGTTTCAAAAACTTTGTTCTTGACAAAACAGACATCAAGGTTTCCCTGTGCTTCAAAGCCATACAGAAAGATCCCGTATGTTTCCTAAAAGGCGATTTTGAAGAAGGCAAAGCACATGTATTGACAAACAAGCCTGACAAAGGCGGACCTGCGGAGTGTTAAAATGTTCTGACGCTTGTTCTGGCATCAAGTCTGGTTTGTGCTCTGACGCCTCATCCATCAAGGCTGCGAAATGTTCTGGAATGTGTCCTGACGTCCTTGTTTTTCCTTGTTGCCATGTGTTCTGACACTTTCCCTTGCAGTGAAGTCTGACATGTCCTGTGACATATGGTCCGATTTCGGTCCTGGCATGTGCTCTGACATGTATCCCGACATTTGTTCTGCCATCGAAGAAAATGTCTATCTTGCCAGGGCGGCCGCCCATGCGGGGGCGCTTTTGCGCCTGACGCTGCCTCCGTTTATTGCCGCCGTGTTGGGAACTCGTTGGCGCCGCATTCCCTGACGCTCCTTTCCCCACTGATGCCGCCTCCCCGCCTGACGCCGCCTAGCGACGCCGCATTCCCTGACGCCGCTTCCTGGTCTGACAGCGCATACCCCCCTGACGCCGGCTATTGACGCCGCATTCCGCGCCACATACCCCCCTGACGCAGCCTATTGACGCCGCATTCCCTGATGCCGCGTTCCGGTCTGACGTCGCATACCCCCCTGACGCCGCCTATTGACGCTGCATTCCTTGACGCCGCGTTCCTGTCTGACGCCGCATACCTCCCTGACGCCGCCTATTGACGCCGCATTCCCTGACGCCGCGTTCCTGTCTGACGCCGCATACCTCCCTGACGCCGGCTATTGACGCCACATTCCCCGCGTCAGGCCGCGTTCCCCATTGACGTTGCGTGATTATATCCTTGAATCGAAATGGCCCTTGCGACCGGGTGCCGTTTCCAGGTTTAGAAGTTGGCGGCAGCGTCAGGCGCGAAATCTGTTGGTGTTGTGCTTTATAGCTTCGAAATACCCCGGGCCTCTCCTGACGTCATTCTCACCGTGTTTACAGTGACATTAAAAAAATTATTGGGTCGTCGGTTATTTTCGTTAAATCGGAAACGAAATTATGTGACGTCGTTGGAAATATGAAATTAAGTGACCTCGGGAAGACCTAGCAGCCCAACGCACCCAGTTGTGGACGTGGCTTGGTTGGGGTGACCGTTGCGGTGAGCACCTGCATGGCGAGGCCGCTGTTTGAATCTTCTGTACGGGAGAGATCCGGCTGCAGGCAGTGGACTGGATGCCTGGGAACAGCATTGCGTATTCTCTTTTCGATCTCTCCAATGCTTGGGGGTGTTGACCCTACACTCATGTCGTGTGGGTTACAAGAGTTTGGCTTTGGAGGTGGTTCCAAAATCCGGTATTTGAGCTTTCAACTGGGGCTCGGTAAACCGGGAATAGGCGTCAAGGAGGCCTCGAACCAACCAACCGTCGCAGAACCCTATTTCGCCAAAAGAAGGTTTTTGCCTTTTCGAGCTGCTCGTCGCGGTTTCCTATACTGGGGCTCGGTAAACCGGGAAAACAGGTCCAGGAGGCCCTTTTCCAGCTGCTCGTCGCAATTTCCTTGCTTACTGGGGCTCGGTAAGCCGGGAAAACGGGTCTAGGAGGCCCTGCGCCAACCAGCCGTCGCAAAACCCCATTTCGCCAAAATAGGGTTTTTTGATGGGGCCGCCTTTTTGGGCTGCTCGTCGCAGTTTCCTTGCTTACTGGGGCTCGGTAAGCCGGGAAAACGCGCCCAGAAGGCCCCGAACCACTCAACCATTCTGAAACCCAACGCCGCCAATTCTTGTTTGCTTTCGGCCCTTCGCGAACCCCCGCGTGAGCGGCCCAGCGGTCAGAAACGTGCCCTCGGAAGCGGAACGCCGGGCTCAAACCCCCAGCCTTGGCAAGCTTCCCGTCTTTCCAGCAATGTGCTTGTTTGTGTGTCTTGCGCGCGCGGCGAGAAAACGGCGGTTGCTTAATGAAGGGGGGTATGCTCTAACAAGCATCAATCTTTTAGATTTGTGTGCGAGGGCTTTCCGTTGAAGCAACAGGCTGCCAAAAGAGGCTTAGCTTGCTAGTGGGACGATCTTACTTAAGATGAAGGGGCAAGATCTTAATTTCAAACCTAGGTCGTTAATTCAGGGTGACGTCGGTGACGTCGTTAAAATTTGCCACGATTTTACTTGATTTTCATTGCTTCCCAAGATTAGCTTCCGTTCATAACCAAGATTTGTTCTTGTTAGTCTGACTTGAGCACCATGACTGGCCGCTCTGGTTCCACGGCCAAATGATTTTACCTCCGCTTCACGTTGCGTCAAGTTCGGACAGATAAAGCAGCTTGCTCTGTCTGCGTCTGTGCAAGTGGTGGCTTCAAGCTCAACAAAGCATGCCTGGATATGTCTGGGCTATGGCTATGGCGGAACAGTCACAGTCAAATGTTTCGTTTGGACCGTGAAGTCACGAATTCCGAGGAATTCCACGATCATATGAATGCGTTTCGGTTTTAGCTTTTCTGTCAGGAGCAGGAACACAGTTGTAAGTTGTAAGCCTCTACCCCCTTCGAACCAAACTTCAACAAATTTCTCTTTTACAGTGATCGCCAAAAAAAGATTTCGTCGACTCCTTAGCACTGAAACGGCCGAGAGCAGATCTGCAGAACATTGCAACATCTCCGTGTCCAGTGGAAATCGGTAGATTTCTATGAATCAACTGGGGTAAGCAATGGTTGTTTGCCCTTCGCCAGGGATCGTTGCCACCTTACCGCCCGAAACAAAGCATGCTTACAGTACTGTGACTATTCTTGATGATGCAATTGCCAATCACTGTGAATCTACGTGATTACACATGTGTATCTTCATTCTTCATCATGTTGGGTTTCAGAATACTAGCTTTCAAATGTTTTCAAAGTAATGGGGGTTGACCAGAAAAAACTGCCTTCATATTCTAGTTTCTTTGGCACAGTACTCATTCGTATTCCTTTTATCTCCTTTACACTTTTACATCTTACCTCCCCAGTATGTTGCCACGCTCTGCATCCCTCGGGCGCGCAAGAGATGAGGGGCATTTTCGGTTCCTGCACCAGCACCCGCTTCATGACTTCACGCTGAGGGTGTTCAAATTGGCGCCCAGTAAAATCTCTGAAATGGCCAGTTTCTAGTGATAAACTTAATACCCATTGAGGATATTGTCACCTCAGAAAACAAATTAATTGAGCTGCACAGCCACTTGAAGGATGAACAGATGCCAATGTATGGATGGACAAATGAAACCAAATCTTTGGTTCAAGACCTTCAAAAGACAATGGAGAGGTCGTTTGGCGTTTAGACCTTTTCCAGGCGCTCCTTGACCATCGCGGCCAAGGTCACGGACACGTGGAGATGTTGGCGAACCAATGAAGGACCAAGGGAGCACAAGTGGGAGCACAGCCAGCCTCCCCCGGGTTTGTCTGGTTCGCAAATTGCCAAGCCGCAAATGATTCAAGTATAAATTTAAAAGCCAAGGACCCACACAGCATAAAACACCTGCCACAAAGGTATACTTGGCCGGCGGGACTTTGCTAAGTTTAGCTAAGTCTAACTTGGACTTATAAGTACTTAGTAAGTACTTAGCTTGGACTTAGCTCAGGGTAACTTAGCTTGGACTTAGCCTGGACTTAGCTTGGACTTAGCTAAGACTGAGAAGTCCGAGCGAGGTCGAAGCTAAGTGTTAGTTTGTTTGATCAGTTTGAGCTAAGTCAAAGCTAAGTCTAAGGCAATTATTGAAAAATAACAATGAAAACTGAAAACCGAAAGCTCGGTCTGGGAGTGCGCTGGTAGACTTTTCTCTCACGCGAGCATCAACAGTCATCATCTGAGCATCAACAGCCTCACATATTTGAAACTATTTTTAATACATTGAAAAATATAGTTTTGGGTTAATTACACTGTTAATACCATCATAGTTAGTGTATCACCGTTTAACTAAACTTATATATTGTCAGAAGTCTTCTGACAAATTGTTGTTGACATGTACCTTTTAAACAATGTAATAATGTCATTCTGACATCTGTAAGAATTTTCTGACATTGGCCAGAATATTTTTCTGACAAATGTCAGAAATATTTACTATTTACACAAATATTTTCTGACATGTGTCAGAATTTTCTGACAAATGTTAGCTTAGATTTAGTTTTAAAAGGCAATATTGTCATATTGTTCTGACAAATTGTTGTTTACATTTTCTTTTAAAAGGATATACTGTCAGATTTTGTCAGAATCTTCTGACAATTGTCTGAATATTTTCTGACATTTGTCAGATTTTTCTGACAATTGTGAGAATATGTTTCTGACATTTGTCAGTTTCTGATATATGTCAGAATATTTTCTGACATTTGTCAAAAATATTGAAGATGAAGACAAGTTCTAAACTTGTCTAAATAGAATTGTGATAATGTTTAAGTCTTTGGGGTGAATGATTCAAAGACTTCAGCATGAAGACAATGTCAAAACTTTATATCATGCGACTGCTTGACGCATCCTATTTGCGCCAAGTACTCTATAGGATGCCGTAGAAGAATCAACAAGCGGCCACGACGCGGAATGTAACAAAGAATAACGGCGCGGCCGTATGCTGGCTGGTTGTCGGTTGGTGGCTGCGTTCGACGCATTTTGGGTTGATTTTGCTTCAATTTTTGAGCCTCGACTTAGCTTTGACTTAGCTTGGACTTATAAGTCTGAGCTAAGTCGAATCTAAGTCCAAACTAAGTCTTAGCCCACTTAACTTTGACTTAGCTAAGTCAAACCTAACTACTTACTAACTCTACTAGGCTGAGCCAAGTCCAAGCTAAGTAAAACCTAACTTCTATAGAGGTTAGCAGACTTATAACGTTGGTTATAACTAGGTTAGGTATATATATGTATAACCTAGGTT